TTAGTATAAAAACATGATTCACAAATAAAAACATGCAGATATAAGAGCCAACTAACAGAAAAACATGGCCAAAAATCAAAGTCCCCTAATCCAGAAAGTGAAATCAAGAAATTATGGCAGATCTTGGGAGAGGTGAAGAAGTGAAAATTATGAGAGAAAATATAAGTGACATGGAGAACAGAAACTGGAGACACAATATTATATGTTGGGGTTTCTGGAAGAGGTAATGGGGAGGGTATAAGAAACAAAGGAAAAAAGTAAAGAAAGTGTGCCTGAACTTCAAGGAGATTTAGGACTTTAGACTCAAAGTATACTCCAAGAGCCAGACAGGAATAGTGAAAAAAGAAATGAGATTACCTACAATAGATGGATACCTAAAAGTTGTGGCTTCAGATTTTGTAGAATTTAAAACAGAGCAATTCTTCAAGTTCTGATAGTCTTTTGAACCCAAAATAGATGCAACCAAACTATCACTAAAGTGTGAGAGCAAAGTGAAAAATCTTGAAATGTGTGACTCAGGACAGGACGCCGAAAAGGTTCACGCCATTGAATCTGAAAATTACTCACAGTTATGAGCAAATGAATCCAGAATTATGTCTGAATCAAATCTACAAAATCAAGTTGAAACAACGCCTGATGACAGACCTATGAGTCTGTGCAACTGTTAGCAGGCACGCTTGGTCGGAAGGCAGAGTGTCAGCAAGATGACATATGCCAAAACGATGAGCGTGAGGCATACACTCACTCGTTTCCTAGGACACAGATGATCTGCAGGCAGCAGCTGAAGTCCGCCGCTTTCCCAGGTGCTTTCCCAGGCGCTGCGCCAGGCTATGGGATCTAAATGGATTCTTCAGAAACAGAGGGGCTGGACTGCCACCCCCCTAAGGTGCTGCACGCCCTCATCCCATTCCTCCCCTCAGCAGGGTTTGTGCTCATCTCCATGAATGAGCACATATTTCACCCAGTTTGAAATATGTGCAAAAGGGAAAATGTGTCTCTCTTGGGAGACCCAGATAAGTTAAAAAAAACTGGGACCAAACATCTGGCTGTCAACAAATGTTGCACTTCCTGTTTCCTTCTGGGGTGAAATGGGCACAATTAAAGTGGGCTCCCTGTGAGCACCCCCACTGCCTCCCTGTGTGGACAAAGTGCCCCATCTGGGGACAGCCATGACCCCCACCCCGAGGAAGTCAGTCATCACCTCCAGCTACCCTTTCATCCAACTCCGAGGAACATCTGCTTGGGGCCAGGCCTTCTGGGAAATACCACTTCCTACTGGAGATTCAGCTCTACCTTGCCTGCCCTACACTTAGAGAAATGAAACCATAGTGCTGTCTTGTCTGCCAATGGCACACACTCATTCCTCCATGGTTCTTAAGAGGAGTGTGCTGGTGAGGACCCCAGGGCTGGAATAGCAGCACAGTGTAAGGCGAATGCCCCCACTGCCAGAAGGCAGCAGCGAGGCTAGGTTCCCACACCCAACCAGCAACAGATGCCAGCAGGCTCATCCCTCCTCAGAGAGCCCACTTCTCACCACAGCCATGCAGTCAAACTGGTCAGGCCCCAACAGTGAAGAGGGAGGGAAAAGGCTCTTCTTCCCACCTGGCCTGACACATGGCTTTGATACTGATGCTGCATGTGAACACATGGACACTACACCCCACCACACCCCCCACACCCATATGCCACATAAACCACACCCCCCCACACACATGCATCACACACACATACACACTACACCTACATAACCACAACCCCCCCACACACCCATACCATATAAACCATACGCCATACACATACACCAAACACACATGCACACACACTACACACACCGCTGTGGGAGCTGGGTCCACAGGGCTAGTGCCAAGGCTGACCTCTGGTTGTGGTCAGTCCACTCTGCCCAGCTACCTGGCCTCACCCGCCCCCACTCTGACCCCAGTCACCTGGTTTTCCATTTTCTCACACTGTAGCAGTGTCATCCTAAGGAACAGAAAAGGAGCAAAGCATCATGTGGATGACAGGAACACTTATCCTGGAAACCTGGGCTGACCACGGGTGAGCAGGAGACAGGGACTGAGAGGATCTCCTGGGATCGCCAGCCTCAGAGGCCCCAGAGAAGGCAGGCTCCGGAGGTTTTGTCACCAGGCCACTGTGGGTTGAATGGCTGTCTCCCAGGGCCCCTGGGCACCAGTACCACCTGCGGGCAGGCCGAACCTGGCACCAACACGGCTCTGCTGCACTGACCTCTGCCTAGAAAGCACGTCCAAGTGACAGCCCAAAGACACTCACAGCTGACTAGACAGCAACCACTGCGGGGCACCGCTGTCCATGGTGCTGCCCAGGCCAGGCCCTTGTTGCTGGGGTCCCACCAGGTGCCAGGCCAATGCACTACCGGAGACCCAGGGCAGACAATCTGGCTGCTAGACTGGGTCTCAGATGCCTGAGAATCCAGCCAACAGTACACGGAGGCCACAAATTGCGGGAAAGATCAGAGCTATGATCACTGGTAACTAAAAACCCGGGCATGGCACCCCTCAGGGAGGGTGGTGAGTCTAAGGCACCCACACTTTCAAAAGGATTGATTTTGACAGAACTTCTGTGCAGACACACATACAGGGACTTAAACATGATGAATGTTCTGTGGGACCCACGTCACAGCCCGCTCTTATCCTCTAACTGCAGCACGTTTTGGTCCCTTCCCTCAACACAGATGCACTGATTTTATGGATGCATAACACCCATCATGTGTGATCAACATGTTTGAAATTCAGATCGTCCATGACTTTCCATTATAATGCTGTGAACCTGTGTGTGGTTCTGCTGTGCACATGTCTAAGATCCTGAAAAACGGCCACCTCACTGCAAGGGTCTCCGCTGCAGGTGAGGGAGGTTGGTGTGGTTGGGGGCGCTGAGGAGCAGCTACACAAGGGAGCAGAGGTGGGCACAGGCCAGGCATGGGTGCTCACACATGTGAGCTCACCTGAGCACTTGCGTATGCAGACATACCTGGGCACAGGGCTTCCCTTTGGAATAATAGAAATATTCTGGACTTGATGGAGATGGTGGTGGCACAACACTGTGAAGATGCAAAGGCTATTGAATTGCGTATCGACAATGGGTAATGGTTAATTACCTCATGTGAATTTTACCAAAATAAAGACTTAACAAAACATGAAGACCATGGATCAGAGGTTCCTCCAGTCCTGGCGCTTCTTCATTCCCTGCAGGCGTGCAGCTTTCTGAGCAAAAAAGCCTTCCTTGGGGGCGCCCTCCACAGTGTGCCCTGGGCTGTGCCAGGCTGCACCACAGGCTCAGGCTCAGGAGGCAGAAACTCCCCACACTACACCCCTAGAGGTGGAGACCACACCTTTCTGGGAGATCTAGGCTTCTGGGTGGTGCCGTCATGAACTATACCAATGTCACACTGGCAGACATGGAGAAGTTAGGCCAGAGAGGTAAAGGCTCCAGGAAAGTGACTCCAATACCCTCACCCATGAGGCCTGTGGGACCGAGTCCAAAATCTGAGCTCCATCCCATCTACAAAGAATCCAACCTGAGTCCCAGTGGAGGCAGAGTCCATCCCTCATCCTGAGGCTGGAAATTCAGATTCTGCCTCTCCCAGCCTTCCTGAAGTTGGGATGCCAATGCAGAGATGAGGGACTGGGGGAAGCAGGGGCAGTGGGGAAGCAGTGGCACTCAGGCTAGCAGAGGGCCAGCTGCAGGGCTGGGACAGCTTTGTAGTCTGACTGTGGGATCATGCTCCTTAGCTTATGCCCATTAAGAAATTCCTTTTCTGCACTAGCCAGGTGGTTCAGTTGGCTGGAGTGACGTTCCATACACCAGAAGGTTGTGGGTTCAATTCCCAGTCAGGGCACATACCTAGGTTGTGGGTTCGATCCTTAGTCGAGGAGCACATGGGAGGCAACAGATTGATGCTTCTCTCTCACATGGATGTTTCTCTCTCTCTCTCTACAAAATCAATAAAAACATATCCTCAGGTGAGAATTTAAAAAAAAATTTCTTTTCTGCTCCCATAAGCCACAGCTGCTTCCTGATGGTTCACCTATGACAGGTTTTGCTCCCCTTTCACCAAATGTCTGCAGGGAACCCTTACCTACTCCAGACAGGGCTTCAGCCAGCCCTTCTCATCCAGGCACACATTCTCCCCTAGGACTTATCCTACCCTAGGAGGTAACCAATTCTCCAACTTCATATTTTCACAATAAGGAACAGAGCAGGAAGTTGCGCAGAGATGAGTGTGACCCCAAACATCACTGCAGGGGCCGAGAGCCAAGCTAGATGCTGAGAAGATGGCAGGAAGACCAGACATTATCTTCCTGGCCAGCATGGCTCAATGCTTGAGCATCGACCCATGAACCAGGAGATCATGGTTCAATTCCCGGTCAGGGCACATGCCTGGGTCGCAGGCTCGATCCCTAATGGGGGGAGTACAGGAAGCAGCCGATCAATGTTTCTCTCCAACATTGATGTTTCTATCTCTCCCTCTCCCTTCCTCTCTAAAAATCAATACAAAAATATATTTTAAAAAAGATCTGTATTTATATTTTGCCAATATAAACAGGCATCCAGCAAACATATTCAGTATAAAAAACATTTTAAGGACATAATACTTCATCGTAACTGGCAGGGCAGTTGACCTCTATGTCTTCCAGCGGAATGTACTCCTCTCAGGCATGTGAATTAAAAAGCGAACAGGGGAAGTTGCCTCAACTCTCTGCCTGTCCAGGGCCAGGAGGGTGTGCAACCAGCTCCCCACATGCTCCTGTGTGGCCCCTACCATGATTTACCTCAGAAATGTGGGGATGTGGGGGACTGGTGGGAAAGAATATACAGGATCTCCAACAGAACAGGAACAGACTCTACCATGTCTGCTTCCCAAGGGCCACTTGTGGAGGATGTGGGGCAGAACAGGTGCATCCACACCAGCCACAGAGAAGGGCTTTACTGATACCATGAAGCTCAAGACAGACCACACCAGCTTTATATGATCCGGTCACACACCCTTTATATAGGATTTCCATTATTCAGATTCATAGGACTATCTACAGAAATACTGCATCAACATGCGGCCGACATGATATCAGAGACAATTCACCACCTCCCCAGGCTCCTTCCCACCTGCATACCAAAGGGGACATGATAGTCTTTGTCTCACAACAAAAACATTGTACTCTGTACATGCAAATAAAAACAAAAACAAACAAAAAAACAAACAAAAAAAACCCTGTAGACAATCCACAAGGCTAGCTCTTTGTAGAGGCTGCAGGTTCTGGAGACTGAAGAAATTCGTATGGGTCATGGGACACCTCTGGCTGCTCACCAACACTGAGGCGAGAAGGGCTTCCTGCAATCACGGGAAAGACAAGACATTTCAATAAATCTATACACACAGTCCAGGCCTAGCAGGCACCTGGTCAAAATCTTGTGTCTCCCTGTTAGTAGCAAAGCCCAGGACTCAGCCAGAGCAATGGCTCCTGAGGTACAGGCCACCCCTCTCATCACTCCTGGGGTATGGGCCACCACCCATACCACTCCCAGGTTATAGGTCACCCCATCGTATCTCCCAGGGTACAGGCCATCCCTATCACTCCTGGGAGGAGGCAGAAGGCCCCTGTTCACAGACATGGTTGTAAAGACCTGGTAGCAGGAGGCTGGCCCTGACCCTCCAGACAGGACTACTGCTTCTGTAAGAACAAAGGGTCCTTGGCCAGGGGTCCCTCAGACAAACACTAGCCCCTTGAGCAGGCTCCAGTGTCACCTTGGGAGTCCACAAGGATGATGGAGTCCTCAGACCTGGAGCTGACCTAGGGCTACCTGGAACCTACTTTGTGTGCTGTTTATCACAAGGTTAATGGGACCAAAAATACTAGTCCTTATTTGGACAGCTTTTTGCCAAAACTCTGTAGCTGATTACCTCCCCCACCAATTAGTCTCTGAAAAAATAATTCAATATTCGTATCTGGGAACTAAAACAGTAGCACAGACACATTTAAGGAGCCTCGAGGCAAATGTTTAGTTTCCCTCCTGGACCGGCTATGACACTCATTAAATGCAGGAGCCCTGCCCTGGCCAGTATTGCTCAGTGGTTAGAGCATTGGCCCACACACCCAAGGGTGGGTTTGATTCCTGGTCAAGGGCACACACCTGGGTTGCAGGTTCGACCCCTGGCCCTGGTCAGGGCTCCTGTGGCAGGCAACCAATAGATAATTCTCTCTCTCCCTCTTCCTCCCTCCCTTCCACTCTCTCTTAAAAATCAATGGTAAAAAATATCCTCAGGTGAAAATTAACCAAAAAAAAACACAGGAGCCTCCGGGCCATGGAAGGTCATGTGCTCTCCCCAAATAAGGATCCTGGAGGAACAAACTTGTCAACACACTGTTTTAGGACTAAAAGCAGGAACAAAAGAAAGAAACATTCCCAACATCTAACTCTGTATGCCTGTAAGGGTCTACAGCCTCTGTCTAATTCTGCCACCACCTAGGACTCCTCCTGATACATGGACTGCCAGCATCCTACGGCCAAGGCCACAAATTCCTAACACTAACTGAACTTCACTTAAACACTTCATCTCAGTGCAGTCACACTGGGAGGCCTGTTCTCCAAGCTCCAACGGACTGGTCTGCACTGCCTGCTCAAGCTGCAACCTCCTAGATCTCTAGCCTTTCTGACAGTGCTCCTGCTCTCTTCCCAGACTGATGTTGGAAGATTTGGGGCAGAGGTCAGGACAGGGGCTGCCTTACCCAGGTGGTGCTGATCCCTGTCGGAGGTGTTAGACAGGGAGCTGAGGTTGGATGACGGCCGGGAGCCCCCGCGCTCTGCCTGTGCCTCATGCAGGTCCTGTAAGAGTTTTGTTGTCTCATCCAAGTTCAGATGGCTGTCATCATGGTCCAGCTCCTTCTTCACTTTCCCTGTGCAAACACAGCATGACAACATCAGCCCAGATCCGCTGGCCCACCTGTCGAGCACTGCGTGCCGGCACTTCTGGTCTGTAACTGTGATCTCTCTCTCGTCACTATGCACACTCAAGAAAACAACCCCTCATAAGTGAAGCCAGATGAGCACAAGTTCAGAGGATAGGGCGATATAGTCGGAGCGAGGGGAAGAGGGTGGAGAATGATGGGAGGGGCAACATGCCTAACAAGGAACCAGTAACCATGTCAATCTGAGTCATTTTATGGTCAGAGGCCTTGCATTCCTGTCATAAACAACTCGAAAACAAGACGATGTGTGCAACTGAGGCCTGCAGACACCAGGACTAGACAAAGGCTACAGCCAGGGCGGGGAACTGCAGGGCCAGGCAGTGAGTGGGCTAAGAGCTGGAGAAGACAGGCTTGCCTGGAGAGCTCACAGGTCTTGGCCAAGCACTGCCCTCCACCCCACCAGGTAGTTCAACAGTTCACACGTGTGTGACAATCTGTGTCCCACACACATGGAGGAATGCAGCCTATGGGTGGGACTACATTCACTCTACACTGTGGCTCTGTGCCTGCCCTAATAATGCCTCAAAGCAAAACCCGGACAGGGTCTGACAGCTCCAAGTTGCCCAACAGCCTACTGAAGCAAGGTCACCACAGTTCAAAGGCATGTAACAAATCTAGCACCCAACAGCATATCTGCAGAGTCTGGCCTCCAAGAAATCACCAGGCAGGCAACGGAGCAAGAAAACACATCCCCACCCGGAAGGAACATTGTGAAGAGATGCAGGAATAAGCAGAGAGGGCGTTAAAACGACAACTGGGTACCTGCTCCATGTGTTAAAGGCAGAGAAACCATGACCGTGAGGCGAGAAAGGGACGACAACATTGAAAAGTGGAATAGAGCTAGCTGGGAAGGGAAACCCCAGGAAGGACAATGGCAGGTCAGCACAGCAGAAGAGATGACCAGTACCCTTGAGGATGTAGCGCAGGACAGCCCAAAACATTGACTCAACAACAAATGGGCAGTCTGGGTAGAGCCAAACTTCCCATATTTGATAAAACATCTAACCCCTCGGATCAAGCAGTTGAACATAACCCAGGAAGAATAAACTTAAAGAAAAACAAACATGGCACATTACAATCAAACTACTGAAAATCAGTAATAAGGAGGAAATCTTAAGATGCAGCCAGAGAAAAAAAGAATAGCTGGCGTGTAGAAAAGCATTATCATAGCAGCTCTAGACCGCTAGCTTTACTGAACAAGGATTTCAGAACTCCTCCCACCACCCAAATGACAGGAAGGGTTCCCTGCATCTGACCTATCTGTGCAGTGGTATGATTGATGCTGAACACCTGCTTTCCTTCTGGAAGCCCAGAATTTGGGGCTGTGCCAAGCAAAGGTGCTACACTGTCACAATCACTGTTGGGGTTAGGTATATCCTGCAGAACATGAGGATGGGGCTCTGGGAGCCGTGCCTGGTCTCCAGATGCACCCCATGTGCCTCATTCCTTTGGGGAGTCTGGTCAGTGTCTTTCCGCTGTAATAAACCACAACCATGAGGACAACTATATGCTAAGTCATAGGCAATCACCAAACCTGTGGGTGGTCTTGGGGACCCCTGAATATTGGGAAAACAGAAAGAAAAAACCCCCCAGCAAAATGGCAGATGTGAATCCAATAGTCCTTGTAATTGGGCAAAACACACTCCAACCAAAAGACAGAGACTGTCAGGGTGGATGACAAAGCAAGACTTTACTTTATGCTCTTAAAATTGTTTGATGAAATCCATTTTAACATAAGGTATTATAGACACTGGGGCCGGGTCACTCTTTGTGGGGGTACTATTCTGTGCGTTTCAAAAGGTTCAGCATCTCTGGCCTCTACATGTGATGCCAGAAGCACCACTCTCCCAACTGTGACAAGCAATGATGTCTCCAGATGTTGCTACATGTGCCAGGGGGTGGGGGGAGTTGCTCTCAGGTGAAAAGCACATGTGTGTCCAAAGTAAGCAGAGGGATGAAGATGTACCATGACCACTACTAATCAACAGGCAGCTGGGATAGCAGAGTAGACTTCAAAAGATTGAATGCTGTGTTAGAGGGCATTTCACATGGGGTGGGGGGAGGGTCAGCAGCCCACGAGGGAACATCCTGGTGGGCACACTTGAGCACGCCGATACACCAAAAGAATGAAAGGACCCAGTGATTCTAAAGATGGAGCCTGAAGCCAGGAAGGAGATCCAGGCAAGCCTCATCAGGAGTCATCTCACCTATGGCCACTCACTAGGCTATGCCATCCTCTGGGGAACAAGGACAGGCTGCAGTATACCAGCCCTGTGCCCCCAGGGACCACCCCTCAGGCTAAGTGGAAACGCACTACTAGGGGTCACTTCCTTTCAGCTGAGCCTGATGATCCTACTGCAGTGTTACATGGAAGGCATGTGCCCAGCACAACCTACCCAGAGAGCTGAGCATGGAGATGTCCAGAGAGACGTCAGAATACGACTTCATTGACATGAAATCCAAAACAGAGCCACCATCTCCTATGGAGTCTCCAGCCTGCAGAAAATGGGAAACAAAAGAGGGAAAGACTACTAAGTGGGCAGTGAACATCCACTGGCAGTACAGGCCTGCTCTGCCATGTCCAATTCCAAGGAGTGGGCAAAAGTAAGCTGTGTCCAGCCCATGCTACTGTCCAGGGACCAATGGGTATGAGCTCATGAGCGAGCTACTATCTAGGCCAAGAATACTAGACCGATATACAAAGGCTGCTGGCTCTCTGGGGACTTACGGGTGTGGAGGGAACCGTTGAGACTCCCGAGGGTACAGACTGTAGCTACCCCTGCTGTCCTGACTCTCATGAGGCACAACTTCTCTCTGGAAGTTTTCTGCTGTGTCAATTCCCCACTCTTTCTACATCATTACAGAAATGGCCAGCCCACCTTCCTTGAAATACTCTATCCTACCATACACGCAAATTTTCTTCCTTCTGATTTGCTACTACTCTCAGGCTATTAGAATTTTAGGATTAACATAGCTATATTTTAAGTAAATATTTGAAGGGCCATCACCAGTATTTTAAGGCCCTCGAAATCCTGCCAAATCACATACTTTACATGAGTGCTGAGTCCTAAGTCACTACTAGACAATTTAGTGTCAAATGACAGTGTCCTCCCCAACTGACAGTCCGGAGTGACATCATTTCTTCACCAAGTAGTTAAGAAACAAAAGCTCCACAGGACAGATGCTGAGTCTATGGGCCTGGCTGGGGTGTATGCCTTCTATGCGCCCTCACTCCACCCTCAGCACTCTCTCGGGGCTCAGACAGGACCTCTGCCAACCTGAACGGTAGGGAGGGTGTCCACCTCCATCCAGTGACTCACAGGAACCCAGTGACTGAAAGAAGCTGAGGATTTTGCTGCTGAGCAAGGGGGTACCAGGCCTATGACCCCCATGCCCACTGGGCAGCCTTGGCCTCAGTGTGAAACCCTCTGCCATGGTGATCTGTGAATTTGCTTCCTCCCCTCGGCTTTTACAAAACCTACTTCTGTGTGTGCTTTGACAAGCAGTCTCTTCCAAGAGGAACTATTACTGTAACAATTTAGGCCATCAGTACATCAGGCTGAACTCATGTTTTACAGAGCCCGATGATGGGCCAAGCACCAAGGTTTGAGTGTCACCATAAATTCCTACAACAACCCCACCATTACCACCCTGCCTCTTAACCAGAGACTGAGGATTAGAGCTTTTAGTTATCCTGCTCAGTGCCCAGCACCAAAGCCCTCACTCCTCATACTCAGGGGGTCATCCCACAGCGTGTCTTTGAAGGATGTTACAGGTTTACCTGATGATCCTAAAGCATGAGGCAAGTTGGAACCCAAAGCATCCTGAAAAAAACTGGGTTGCTCATACCTACTCCACTAGCAGAAGGGCATTTAGCACCACTCATTTCCCTAGAGACCAGGCAGAGCAACACCCCACCCCACACCCTAATCATGCGTGCATACCAAAGAGCCTTCCCAAGGCTAGACCTCTACAGGCCCACCTGTGGGAAACTTGGCCACTTCTGCTAGCTACGTGTGGAGATCTACATTCTCAGAAACCACTGAAAATGCTACCAATAAAGTTTATGCCTTTGAGGATGTTAAAAAGTTAATCCTAAAGCAAAAGTGAGCACTATATTTGCAGAAATGTCTGGGAGCCCTGAGTGGTGACAGAAGCACATTGCCACAGATGCCATGAAGGGCAGAGGATGAGGGAATGAAGTGAATAGAGGTGGGTGCCTCATCCCATGTCAACATCAGGCTGCACATCATAGACAGATAGGAAAGCACAGAATGGACCAACTGCAGGGACGAGCACAGCCACCACAGGGTCGAAGAGGGGTGTGAAGCGGGTGCTCAGCACAAGGGACAGCACAGGTAACAGGAGGCCCCTTCAGAAAGCTGCACACCTGCCCTGGGGCTGTCCCTGTGGAGGCCCTGGCAGCAGGGTAAGAATGTGTGCCAGGATCCCAGCTCAAGGCAGCTTGCAGTGCATCCCAGGTTTTCAGAGATGAGTGTGGGGCTTACACTCTTCCCCACAGGGTGTCTGCATAACCAGACAGAGAGCCTGAGCAGAACCCTGGTTGCCTTATGTACCCATCCACACTGGGAAGCACACCATCTGAAGAGACACCATGTTACCTTCTCTGGTCTGTTACTCAACAAGCCCCACCTGCCAGACACCTGATCCTCCTGCCCCAGGCAAGCCCTCCAACCACCAAGCCCGGGTAATAACTATGGCCCAGGCCCCAACACCCTGCCCAGTGTCCTGGCGTCTCTGCTCCAACATGTGTGCTCCAAGTTATTCCCAAGAAACAGGGAAAAAGGGGGG